AAAGCGGTCGAAGTAGATGGGAGTTGTGAGCATTCGCCGAATAAACACCTCTGGGGGCATGGTTTCCCGATGAGCAACGATCAGGTCGAGCTCCGACCGATGCATGGCGTGAACCTGGTGGCGTTCGATCATAGGTGAAGGGTGACCCTCGATTATTTGGAGCCCGAATGAAGGCCAAACAAGTGCTCACGAGAGGCCCCCGCCTTGAGAGGGAGTGAGGTACCGATTCGTCAACTTTCGGCCAGTACCAGGAGTAGAGGTGCTGATTCCTCACGGGGGCCTGAAACGTGCGCAACTGTTTAAGCCACTGCTCCTTGTAGGAGTAGTCGGTGTTCAGTCGCTGAAAGTTGATCGGGCCTGTGTCCAGTAACCAACCAATACTCAATACTCAAACCACAACCAACTGCAAGCGAAGGAAAATGGGGTTGGGATATGAACCAATTTCGTCCACGGGAAGGGTGAAGCCGACAGGCTTGTCGCCGACCATTGCGGGGCAATCCATGCATGACGCCAGTTCCTCTGGTGAGAGGTCCGTGCGGCGCAAAGCCCTGAACTCGTAAACTAGGGTTGGGTTTATCACTCATCAGCGAGAGATCTCGGACAGACAGCAAAGGCAAGCCCTATGGTGGCAAGCCTATTGGTGCGGCGTGTGAGCGTGCGTTGCGTGCGTGGGATTACCTTTTTCTGTCTCTCGCTTCATCCGGGGGATGACGGGCCCAGAGAAGGAGTAGTCATCGAACTGCTTCTTGGGCGCTGCGAAAGTCCCGTGCACAATGGGCAACATGGGCGCATTATAAGCCTTATACTTGCGTTGGTTCGACAACCTGGTTTGTGGAGGAATGGTGAGAAGAAATCAGATGAACACATGTGCACGGTACTGAATGCGCGGGGAACGGAACCTGGTCTGTACAAGGTGGCCCACCCGCTTGGTGACTTGCTTACGGGTGGAATCCGGCAGCTGAATCCAATTGTCGCGCGACACTGTCTTTTCTGCTTTCTTCTCCGTTGTTTCTGGTGGTTCCGGTGGCGGGTGCGGGTTGTAGATGAAGGTGCTGTACAGTGGGTCCTATATCGATAAACACCCCAACGCGGTCACAAGACGTGTGAGCAAGCGTATGCAGCGCTGCATGCGGCGTAGACGGGGTGTTCTCGCTTGTACCTCGGTCGCATTCTCGACTTTGATGACATTTACTCTTAGCGTGGGCTTCTCGCTGTCTTCGTCCGCCATGGCTACAGAGTAGCTTAACTGGCGAACCTTCTTCATCTCGGCAGTCTGTGATCAAGATGGTACCTCGCTCGTCAGTGATCGAACTGCGCTTTTTCCTACAATCAAAGTTGATTGTCAGGGTACCTTGACAGCGGTGGCCAAGGAAAGCAACTGAGACAGCTGACTGGGGTGGGGTGGAATGACGACCAATAAGTCGGCTACCACCTGAGCCCAGCGCTTGTAGGCAGCTTCGAACTCTGTGATCGCGAGCGCGGGCGCACACGCCGCAAATGTGTTAAGCGCAGAAGGTAGGCGCGCCCTTTCACTTGTGCTTGCATTGTGTACCTGGCAGGGTGGCATACAGTTCAGGCACTGGTTCGTGAGGAATGAGCTGCAGATCCCATATGTTTCCCTGTCGCTCAAAGCCTCCAAACTGTCCGATGTCTTCATCCTAAAGAGAATATCTGATCAGTTGAACTGGGTGGTCACATGACTTGGCTGCGCACCGGATGACAGCGTACCGGGGCACCGGGCTTGTCTGGGGGCTGCGGGCCTGGTGCTGGTAGAGATGAATGGGAAATAAGAAAACCGCGACCGTGTTGCGAACAAGGTGGCACAAATATGTGTGTGCTGACGCTAACCTGGCTTTTTGTCGAAGGTGCCGCTCTTCGACAGGGAGGAGCTGATCTTTTCGTCGAAGCTGAAGGAGGGCAAGGAATCCAAGTCGGTCATCTCATCATCCACGTCGAACTCCTCTTCCTGCGGTACGCATTATCACGACCACACAGCCATCCTCGTGTGAGCACAAACGCGTGCGTGTACGATGGTGCGTGTCAGAGATGGAGACGGTGGCGGCGCGACACACCATTTTAAACACTCGGGGACGTGGGTACGCCCTGCCCATCAACTGGGGCAGGGTCAAATGCCCGAGCGCCGTCGTCACTTGCTTCTTCCACTCGAGCACGGCTGCTTCGTAGCTGTTGAAGTCGATGTAGGCCCCCTCTGCGTCGGGTGAGGGAAAGGGCAAACGCGCTAGCCTCTGTACGAGCCGCCCAGCCTCGCTTTGCTCGCAGCGGCGGTAGAAAGTGTCGTAGAGACGCCCATCACCGTCCACGTAGGACGGGGAGGAGTTGTCTGAACAGTTGGCCCGACTGCTGACATTCAGGAAGTCTTTCGGCAGCTGGGGTCCCGTGTACTTCTTCGACACGGCGTGCCCAGACGCCTTTTCAACTGGTTAAAATGAGACATTCCAGTGTGTGTTGTATCGTTATTAATAGGTGATGAGAGGTGACGGTGGCGAAGGAGTGAGAGGGGGCAACCAGAAGCTTACCTGTCTTCAGAACCTCAAACACCCGGCCGAGCTCCACCTCTCGTGTCGGGGCGGCTGTCATAATCCGGACGCGCGAGACGTTGTTGTGGGATACGCTGAGAAGACGGTTCTTTCGCCTCGCCTCGATTAAGGGGCTCAGCGAGGCAGTAGAAAGTGGTGTCATCGTTTTGGACGCTGGATCCATTGTGCCGCAGGAGGAGCACCTGTCTGCTCAGGCTCAGCCCACCCACCACTGCGGCTCACTTGAGCTCTCTATCTCTCAAGGTGGGGTGCCGGGCAAAAGGCCAGTTTCGTTGGGGCAGAAGAGAAAATGCTCGATTTCCCTGATTTTCATTTTGTTTGGTCGTGGGGTAGAGAGACAAATGCAAGCAGGGCTACTGCAAGACAAATGCCCCATTTGTCTCAAGCAAGTACGTTTTCTTCTTCTTCTTGTGAGTTTGCCACGCTTCGCCAACTGCTCAGTTCACATTTTTTATTCTTCTTGTCTTCTTTTTACATTACTCGTTCAACTTCCTTTCAATCTGATCACACTCCCCGCCTCCCTGCCCCGGCTTTTGGCAGGTGCACGGCTCGAGCTCGCCTTTTTGGCTTTCTTTGTGCGGCCATGTAATGTACGGGGACTACTCCGCGCAGCCCAACTCCCCCTCCTCCTCCTCCTCCGCGTTTCACACACCCTTTGACGGGTCCTGCCGCACCACCCACCCGCAGGTGTAACGACTGCCTTGTGCGTGGGCTCTCGACGGCTGCGGTAATGGCGTGTCCGGTGTGCAAGTTCGCCCTCTCCCGCACGAGCTTCTTCCAGCACTCTCAACACACCAAGCTCCTCGACATGGAGGGGGCCGTCCGAAAAGTCGTCCTCTCAGAGTACCACCACCTTAGCCCCCCCCCCAGCGCCTCCGCTTTCGCGTGTGCAGAACAACGGCCAGTGACTTCTTTGTTTTTCCTCACACCACAACGCACTTCCCCGTGTGCACACGGCATGAACATACGCATGTCCATGAACTGATGGGCAATTCGCGCCACGCAGCCTGATGAAGACAGGCGACCTGTTCTCGACCCTCAAGGACTACAACAGATATCTGGAGGAGGTGGAGACCATTGGTACGCGAGGAGCCCTGTTTCAAAATTAATAGGGCTTTATGATGTGTTTGTGCTGGACCTGATCCGGTCTCGCGTTGGACATTTCCCCCCCCCCGCAGTCTATAAGATCCCGAACGACGTGGATATCAAAGAAACCATGAAGCAGTACGGACGGTACAAACGGAAGAGCCTGGCGATGCTCGAGGTCACGGAAGACGAAATGCGAAGGAGGAGGGACCTTTATTTAACTGACGAGACTCAAAAGTTTGAGCGCACTCAACGAGAGGGTATGCTCGAGAGCCTGGTACGTGCGCCTGGATTCACCACGGTCTTCCCTTGTCATCACACGATCATCACGTTAGAACGCGTACCTCACACACTCCCTTTGTCTCCTTCCACGGTGTACCACATGCATGTGCAGGCGAGAGGCACCATTAGCAGTGCAACCTTCCTTCAGAATGCGCAGATGCTGGTCAAGCCAGAGGAACCCTCCCTTGTGGCCGCCGAGTCAAGCGGTTCAACCGCCACAGTTGCCGGTACCTATTTCATCGGCTTAGTCGGCTCTGTGCCAATAACGTGCCTCACAACACACCACACACACCACACACACACACCACACACACACACAGGACACATGCCGCCACCAGCAGCGGCCTACACCTACCGACCTCAAGCTGCAGCAACAGGCATGGCCCTGCCCAGACCTGTCGCCACTCCTGCCGGAGGTACGGGATCACACCCTCCATTCGTGGGAGAGTTAGCACGCTCGTTCTAACCAACTCTTAATGACGCAGCTGGGAGGTCGCTGGCTCCTGGCCAACTGCCCGCGCCCGTACGCTTCCATCCCTGGCGACATACGCGTGTGTGTAGTGGCCCAGGCTAACTTCCTCCCTGTTCCACTGTTTTGTGCCAGGTGGGCGGCGGTACCATCATGCGAGACGTTGTCCCCACATACCTGACACCAGACCAGGAAGCCAGGTCGGCTGCGGGCGGGTACAAGTTCGAGCTCGTGAGGAAGAGAGCGCTAGAGGAGGCCCTCGACAGCTTGTGGGCAGCGGCGCCCACCACGCCGTCGGCGTGAGAAAGGACGCGAAAAATCAATAGCAATCCCTTTTTTTCTCCTGTATTTTCTTTTCAAAAAAGACGTTTGGCAGTTGCTGGATCAAGTGCTGCCGAAGGACGAGATGAAGAGGAAGGAGAGAGATGAAGCCGAAGAGGGAGACCAGCGTGAAGAAGAAGTAGAAACCAAATCCGAGGTACGTACAAGCTCCTCCGCACTGAGGACAGGCACAAAATCGATTGATGATGATTTAAATTACGTGCGCAGAAGGAAGAGGGCGTAAAAAGGCTCAAGGAGGACACTGCAGTGCGGGCGCCCTCTGCTCTCCACGATTCGGTCGTACACGAGCTTCGCCGCTTGGGTGCGCAGGCCAACGGCGGCGCAACGGCTACCTCCTCCTCAAGCACCACACCCGCCACAGACGCCACCACATCAACGTCCTCTTCTGCCTCGGCCTCAGGCCAACTGGCGCCGTCATTCGTTGAGCTCAACTCGTTCGCGTTCCCCTCCGACGTGCTGTTCGAGAGCGAGGCGTGGGACCTGTGCGAGGTCGAGCTGAGGAACTGGTGGGCACCGTCGACCCGCGGTGGAAGACCTGCTGTCGAGATCGGGTCGGCCAAGCGACGAAGCAGCGACACTTACGTCTACCTCGCCCTCCCGACCGACACGGCCAACCCTGCCCACCCAGGCACACACCCAGACTCTCTTCTTTTCGCTCTCACGTTTGTCTGTCTCCATTCTCATTTTCCTCACATCCACGACTCGCCTCCCAGTGTTGTTCATCAAGCAGAAGGATGGTCGCGATGGCCCGATTGGAGCGGACGACGAGGGCATCCCGCTTGCCGACTTCCTCGCTGGTCTGCAAGTCCCTGGAGACGAAGAGGAGGACGACGACGACCAAGACGATGATGACGATGGCGGTGACAACGCTGACCCCTATTCGGGGTTCATCTCCGCCATTGTCGCCGGCGAGGAGCTGCCGTCAGAGGACGAAGACGACGACGACCACGACGCCGACCAGGACGACGAAGAAGACGCCGACTTCGAGCTCGAAGATGAGGGCGATGACTAGACCCTCTCTTTTCTCTTTCTCTCTCTGTGCTTTCTCCCTCCCTCGCGCTGCTGCAGACAAGCCCCTCGCTCTGAGACGGAGTGCCTACAACATTGTTTGCATTCCGGTCGAACGTTGCGGGGTTTTGTGGTGCAAAAAAAAACACCAAAGAAGGCGACGGCACACAAGCGCAAGAAAGGAGGCCAGACGCAAGATTAGCACAACACCTGGTGGGTGAGAACTCGTCTGTGGCGCGAGTTAAGAAGCTAAATCGAGAAAGTACTCAACCGACCCCCCCCCATCGTTCAAGGTTCGCTTGCAACGCGTTTTAGCGAGTTAAAAATCGAGAGATCATCTCTGGAGCTCGATCATCGTTCTCATCGATTGGACCTGCGGTGGAGAGCCAGCTTGGCACGGGCGAACGCGGCGTTAATCAACTGCTCACTTTTGTGAACTCCGCCGTAACGGCTACACCGCAGCATGGATATGGAGTTCAAAGAAGAAGTGGACAGTGATGAAGAGGCCCTATCCCCTCTGTCCCATCTCAGCCTCAACGTACGCTAGCTTAGCTCCTCTTTCTCTCCCCCCCCCTCCGTTTCACTGGTTAATTTGCATGACCGAAAGGGGCTAATTATCAATTATTATTTATTATTATTTTAAACAGGAAGAGGGCGACGATGGAGATGAGACGGGTGCCTGGGACAAGGAGGGAGATGGGGGCGATGGAGACAACTCACAGAAGATCTCCAAAAAGGATGCCCTGCCTCTTGTCATCCAGTGGTACGTTGTGTTGCAACGGCCGTTATTATATTTCATTTATTTTGTTTTTGAAAAAGACAGAAGCTTGTCTCTGCTGCGCGGGCGTAGTGGCTTAGCGGCTTCTTCTTCTTCTTCCTGTCATTAGGATCAAGGAAAACTACGAGGCCAGCGGCAACTCCTGCATCCCGAAACACCTTGTCTACCAACACTACAAAGACTTCTGTGAGGACAACAACATTCAGTTTACCAACATGGCCAACTTCGGTACGTGATCCAGATGGGCGCACGCTGTTGTAGGTGGTGGTGGTGTTGTGCTGCTGCTGCTGCTGCCGTCGTTTAGTTCCGTTCCCGGAGTTGGCTTGGGCTGAGGCACACGTGCGTGGTGATGGTGATGTTGTGCATCATCTAGGTAAGATTATTCGCTCCGTGTTCCCTCGCTTGAAGACGCGAAGGCTGGGACCGCGAGGCAAGACAAAGCACCACTATCACGGCATCAGCATCAGCTCTGCATCTAAGCTTCAGGTACATTCTTTACCCCCACTTCCTCGGTCCAAGGCCAAGTGCGAGATTTCCTCGGGGTCTAACGACCGCTCGCTGGCACAGGTCCCCGCAGACGCTATCATCACGGGCAAGAAGGCCCAGAACAGGCGGGTGCGTGGACCGGACGTCACGGCCTCGCCACCTAAGCGCCAGCGGCGCGCTCATAAACTCATGGAAGATGGGTACAGACTCATTCTCTCTTGCCGATTGCGATTCTTCTGGTGCCATCCACTGACTGGCTGTGTCTTTCAGGCTCGACTTTCCCGATTATCCGGAGGATGGAGAGCAGTTCATGCGTCGTCCCATACCAGCCCTTCCGTCGTTCGACCTGGAAGAGGTGTGTAGCCCACTCCCCTCACCGCAGCACTCAGCTTACACTTGCTTGACCCTACACTCTATTGCTCGGTTGTGTCCCCCACTCTGTTCCCGCAGATTGCGTTTATGGGCGAAGTGAGCGACACGCTGATCCAGCAATTGCGGCACTTCATGTCACTGTACAAACAACATGCTCAGCACCTTCTCTCGGTCCTATGTTCATGTTCCTTTACTGAGGTAACCCATCTCGATCCACCGCAACTCGTTGTGCGCCAAAGCGCTCACTAAAGGCCTGCGCCTCACTGACCCGCATACCCCTTTCCCTTCATTGCACGTGCACCTCAGGTCGAGTCTCTCTTGGTCACCTTTTGGTCGCAGAACTTTGGCGATTTTCAGGAAGTGTTCTTGCGTGAGGACATCATCAATCACATCACCAGCAAGGATCGCCTCATTTACAGTGTACGCGCTTCCTTCCGTGACACTCTTTCGGCACATGCCTTGTGTGGTTGGTTGTCAGACTGACTCCACGCTTCCTGCGCGCAGTTAGCGCTGGATTTCTTCTTCCCGACCCTGTTCGAGCCGCAGGTGAAGTCCTTGATCGAGTCTCTCATCCATCTATCCCAGCACATTCGCGCATGGATGGAGAAGGCTACACAGCACTTCCCTCCGGCTTTTTCGGCCCGGAAGCTGCATGAGGTGAAGCGATTTGCGCTGAACCTGCGAAAGAGGAGCCGGATCAATCTTCTTGCTCAGCAGGTACCTCCCCCCGATCTAGTCCCCCATTTCCCTTTTTTTTTGGAATCTCTTGTGAAAGCTCACGCACACGAAACCTCAGGCCAGGGAATGTTTGGAGTGGAGCATTATGCTGGTGGACTGGATCGGTATCGAGTTTGACATCATTCAGGACAAGACCTTCATGCTCTTTTCATCAAACGCCTCGAATTCGGTCCCTCACTACATCACTGCCACGAGTACGTCCCCCCCCCAAGTTCCAAACATGCATGGAAAACTCTTTTTTAACTCACCGATGTCCGTCCGTGTCGTGCAACAGTAACGGAAGACCTGCGCGGAATGCTGGAGGACCACTGCAATTTGGATCAGTTTGTGACGTGGATGCGCCTCGTGGCCGACGAGCTCGTCGAGCAAGGCGCCCTTCCCGCACCCGAGAAGCTCTCCGAATCCATCTACCGAGCCCAAACCTTCCTCTTCTGTTGGGCGCAGTACACGTCCCTCATCATGTGCGACCTGACCTGCCGAGATGCTCCTTCCCTTGGTACGCACCTCCTTCTCCCTCTCGTTTCCTGACGCTCCATTCGCTCACACTTCGGCACCACCATTGTACTACAACCATGCAGAGTTTTTCCACGCTCTCTTCACCTTCCTCAACGCCTACGTATCGTACTACATGGAGGGCAAGGTGATGCAGTACAAGATGGCAGCCCTCTACCCTCCGCTACCACGACCCATCCCCCATCAAACCAACGTACGCTTTTGCATGCGCTTCTCCGTGAGTTTAGTTCAGTAGCTAACCACGTGAATGCGGTGGCACCCACCACCAAAGCAGACGAGCCCGGTTGCCGTCAACTCGCCCACGATGCGCCGCCTGCAGAATATGCCCGACATGTCGCCTTCTGTCTCCTCGCCCTCCCATTCGCCTCACCCGACCGCAGCTTCACCCATCCCCAACGGAGTAGCCGGGTCTAGCTCTACGCCCTACTCCATGGCAAACGTGGTGCGCCCCCCCCCCTTTTCCTTCCCCATCGCATTCTAGCTCGTACACAGTGCTAACCCGATCGATCGCTGTCGGACGTGCTTGCAGAAATCCGAGCCAACCCAGCCGCATCCGACCCACAACCCAACACAGTGGTCGCCCATGCCTCCCCACGGAATGTATCACGGCGGCGAAGAAGCGGAAGGCAACGAAGACCAGGAGGGAGACAACGAGTCAGGCCTCACGCCTCTCGACTTGGAGGCGCTGCAGAACATGGTGCGTTCATACCCAGTCACTGAGTTCTAGTTGCCAGTCCGTCGTGTTAACACAACACCCTATGGCACACTACGATCGCGCAGACTCTCAACTACATTGGCGACTACCAAGACGGGCAGGCCAGCGTGAAGGTGGGTTCCTATTCTGCGCGATCATCGGCGACAGAACACGTACGCTCTGTCGCCGGCCGGGTGGCGTACAATGGCTGACTTCCCTTTGTCTGTCTCTTTCTCTACGAGCAGATGATCCCTCAATCCCACGCAGAGTCTTCCGACGGCATGATGGGCATGTCCAACGCCGATCACTCCCAATTTTTGCACGATCAGGTATGCTCCTCGCTTCCCGTCACACTGTGCAGCCAGCTCTGCTTTCATTACTCACACTCCTGGGCGCGTGTGTTCTGGCCACTCCACTGGTGCAGTCCATCGACATGGGGCGAAACTCCTTTTCGCTCTTTCTGGACGAGGATCTGAACGACCTGCCGCCCCTGCTGCTGCAAAACGTGGACGCTGACATCACCTCCCTCTTCAACACCGACATGGGTTCGTGAGGCCAGGGCACAAGCAAAGCAAAGCAAAGCAAAGAGAAGAGATTGCGACCCCTCCGACACCAGGCGGGATAGGAAGAGAGAGAAGAGAAGGGAGAGACCTACCGCGACAGCTCAGTTCAGACTTTTTCTTGTAAGATACCTGTAAGAAAGCTATTTATTAGTCGGGTGTTTTATTTATTATTCCTATTTTCGTGGTAGCGGCAACACACACAAAAACACAATAATTTATTTCTCGCATCTCTAAATCTTTTTTTTCTGTGTTAGGCCCAGATCGTCCGTAGCAACGGCCAATGAATGCCTGGGACCATGGTCGAGTAGGTCCCAGGCACGAACAACTTGCCGCGGCCCAAGCCCGAGCACGAAGCCAAACGTTCCTCCATTGCCTGCCAGGGCCGCCCTTGCGACGCCGACTTCCCAGCTTTGCCTCAAAAGAGCCCACCACTCTGCAGCAGCTCATCCCGCCACCTCATGCCGTCCGTTCTGGCGGTTCTCGTTCTGCTGCTTTCGTTGAGCCCGGCCGACTCTCGGCGGCCACCCACGACAACCGCCTCCTCCTTCACCTACGTGACCGCCCGTTCGTACACTCTTATCCCCCCCCAATATTCCCCCTGCTGTTCACGTTCGTTGGCATGCCCTCTACCCACCAGAGTCCGTGCACGACGCGCTGGCGGTGGGTGATGGCCTCAAGAGCGTGCAGCCCTACCCCAAGGATTGCCTCACGGGCACTTGCGAGTGGTACCTCAGTACGCACTCCACATACCACCACAGTGGCCTGACGGCCAACTCCAAAATTGGGAGGGGTCCCCTCTGGGGATGGGGGTGTGAGTCTGGGGTGGCGGCCCAACAAAATGATGATTAGCTAATGCAGTGGGCATGTCCCTGCAGACGATTACTCTTGCTTGGGTCCATTTGGTCCTCCGGTACACCCCGTCTCCCCTTGGCTTATTACACTCCGTTGGTCTTACCAGAGAGGTGGCGTGTGGTGGCTCAGAGTGCATACGGACCGCTGGGCATGATTGGGCCACTGGGGGCTTCAGAGTATGCTCGCGACCTGAGCCTGTGGTCCCTCTGGGTGAGAGCGATGCATGACTGTTGCGCTGCTTCGATCCGTGTCAGAGCTGGCAGCTGACTCGAACCCTTTTGGCAGGTGAGGGAGAAGAAGGTTCTGATCTCCTTGCCCGTGGCGATGAGCAATCCCTCCAACGCCGTCAACCAATCCGAACCCACGAGCTGGCTCGACGTAATGATGATAGCCTTCAACTTGAAGCCTGCAGTCTCTCGACTAACACTAGCCTCCCCATCGGGCATGCAGTGGGCCAATCTGTCGGAAAAGGTGAGCCACGGTGGAGGACCGCTGTCCGGTTATGGTCCCTTGGGTTCGTTCAACGCATTTGCCTTCCTTTGTCGACTGTCGTTGTACTCACGCGAGCCTCTCGACAATCAACAAAGGCCCGTATGGTCCTCTGGGCGACGCCTACAGCACAATCATGCCCAAGATCAACGACTTCGCGGCTCACTTGGCGGCGCAGGTGCGTCTTTCCGCATAGCCTCGGATGTTCCCACGTCGCTCACCACCCGCTCGCCTGCAGGGAGTGTGGACGGTGCTGGGTCCTCTCGGACCGTTTGGCCCTCTTGGTACGTAGGAGCTTCATAGCCCGTCGCTTTGCCTCCCATGGGTAGGCCCTGGCTGATCACGAAGGGCTAACACCTCTTCCGCACACATTGATTGTCTTGCGTTGCAGGCCCGCTCGGACCACTAGGCCCATTGGGCGCGACGGGATACATGATCGACAAGTTCGGTAACTACATCGACTCCCATGGCGACATCGCTCGCAACGTACAGCCCCCGTCGCATTTCCAAGCAATGCCCACTGACCTCTCTAACCATCCTGCGTTCATTCAGTACTCTGTGCCGTGGAGCTACACCAACGGGCAAAACTTATACAGGTATATAGATCTGCCTGGGCCACTGTAACAACAACACTCTCGTTAATTCTCATGCGCGTGGTTATGCTCGCGTGTAGAACCTACGACCTGGTGGAGGAGTACCAGCCGGACTATGCCCGCGCGCTGACGGACAACGACTGCTCGTGGATGACGCACTCGGCCGGCCTCGTCCTGATGGGCGGCACGGAGCAGTACGCGTTCACCTCGACCGAGGAGCAGTACGTCACCATACTGGTGGTGCCCCAGTACCAGCTCGACGACTTCGACCTGCAGGTCACTATCGACGGCGCTCAGGTCATCGCCTCCGCCAACCCCGGCAGTTCGTTCGTCGACTGGATTCAGGTCAAGGTCCGAGCCGGTGCTCGCCTTGTCGCTCGTACTTCGCCCTACCCAGAGCCTTCCATTTTTCTATCATCACCACCATCTCACTCGGGTGCGGTTTTGTGCTCACAGAGGTCGAACTCAGCCTGACGGTGCCTTTCTCCTACTGGAGCCATGACTACCGCCTGTATGTCGTAGGCTCCACCTCTGCCTTCACATCCTCGCCCATCTCCGGACCCCACATCATCCCATACTGACCCACCCAATGTACATTGTTAAATTTATTTATTTGGGTGTGTTTTTCAGCATGTTCCCTTTTCTGAGGCCCCAATGAGCCAATCAGCCAAATAAATTTAAAAAATAAAACAAAGCAAAGCGTGGTAGTGAACATCTTGTGGCGGATTCTTGCGGAGAAGGGATGAGGTCGAGCCAAGAGAGCAGCGGGTTCAAGAGGCAGGGCGCTACCGTGGGTGCCAATAGCGCCAGCGGCTACGGTTACGGCAACAACGCCATGTACAACGTCGGGTACCCCCCCCCAACCACGTTTTAGCTGGATTGCAAGAGAAAAGATAATCGCAGAGATGGACCTTATCTTTTCTCTTCTTGTGCGTCCACTTACGTCGGCCGTCCCCTTCTTCCTACCGACTCATCCCCCCCTTCCGGCGTGCAGGACTACGGGTTCGGGAGACTACAAGCAAGCCAAACCCTCTAAGAAGCCGTCGGGCGGCTCGTCGTCGTATGGGGGCGGAGGTGGGGGCGCTGGCTACGCGAGCCCTCGTTCGGGCCAGGGCTATGGGGCCGGGGCGTATTCGAAAAGTGGCGGCGGCGGCGGCAGCAGCGGAGGCGGTGGAGGCGGTGGAGGCGGAGGGCTGCGACATCTGACTGCGGACACTCCCTCGTACGGCACCGGCTACGTGATGACCAAGCCTCCAAAAGAGCACAAGGCCCCCAAGGAGCACAAAGAGGCGCCCAAGGAGCACAAGGCGCCCAAGGACAAGAAGGACAAGAAGGACGGCAACATCATCACCAAGGTCGGCGTGAAGACCGAGAAGCTGGGCAAATGGTGCGCGTTCCTCTCCCGGGATCACTGCGCAGGCTACCCCACCACCACCACCACCACCACCACCACCACCACCACCACCACCACCACTTACGTTCTTCTTGATCTCCGGTACCACTTTCAGGCTCGAAAAGAAAGGGGAGGGCAAGGACGAGAAAAAGGCCAAGAAGGCGCAGGAGCAGCAGTTCCACCAGAACCAGCAGCGCTTCCAGCAGTCATCCCAGCCACCCCAGCAGCAGCAGTACAACCACGCACCCCAGCAGCAACAGTATTATCACGCACCTCCGCCGCAGCAGTACCATCCACCGCCGCAGCAGCACTACGAGCCAGCCCCAAGCGCTGGCGACATTCGGCAGTTCTGTGCCGAGTGCGGCTCCCGCCTTCCCGGAGCGCCGGCCAGGTTCTGTGCCGAGTGTGGCACGCCGGTGTGAGGTGCTCTCTCCTACATGGACACCACCAACGAGAAGGCAACCGAACTCTGCGACTTGCTGGCGCTTCCCGCCTCTTCATGGCGACCCGAGCTGTAAAACTTAGAACACAACAAAACACACAATGTACCACCACCTGCACCTCTTTGCCTCATCACGAGCTGTGTTGTTGGCGACATGTGTGTTGGAGGGGACGTGCCCGAACTCGTGACGTCCCGTGACGGACCTCTCGCCCGTTCCCTACACTCCGTGTAAGGTGGAGGGCTCTGCGAACTTGAGCCTTCCTCACCACCGCGCCGAATGGAGCCAAAAACTAAAACTAGAACGGCAGTGAACACGTAAGTGTACACTGGTACACCCGGGTGGTGAGTTCCCACGGCGAAAACACATTTGAAGGGTGGCGCTGGCCACTTTGACGAATTAAAACCGGAGGCACCAATCTGCGTGCACCATGTATGGTCGATGACGCCACCAGGCGCAATGGAGCGCCTTTGTGGCGAATGACGGCTCGGTGTGGATCTGTTTTTGGTTCATGCGTCGTCAGCAGTCGTTCTTGCGTCCAATGGGGAGTCAGCCTAACGTCACCCCCGCAACCGACTGTTTCGTCAACTTCGTTTAAAAAGGTCGACCTACCGTGCACCCAAGGCAAACGTTCAAGTACTTCCCGCAGCGCACAAACAACAGTTCGCTTTCCCCCACCACCGGCACGCACAGCCACACCCAAGCCGAGCCGCTGGCAATTGCCACCCGAACCGAGGTAAGGCTCACTCCGAGTGCAGCTCCTGAACCAATCTGTGCCCTCAATACCCATAGATTTTTGGTTTTGTTTTTCTCTTCATCAACTTTACGCGTGTTTGTTTGTTTTTGCCTACTTTGTGGCCGCCGCAAATCTCTAACCGCGCTGGTCCCTTGGTTTTTCCGCCCAATGAATGGTCCCGCGCTGATCTAGAAAACAACTTTTCATGTCAGAGGGTCGACACGAAACAACGCCAGGCACGACCACCCAACCGCCGGTTAGATACCAACAGGACGCTACCAAGACCACACACATACACACGGCCATGGAGACGCTGCCCTCGTTCCAGTCGCTGCTCGATAGTCCACCACCACAGCGGAGACGAACGCGTCGTCCCACCACCCCGTTGGCCACTACCCCCTCTCCGACGTGGGCTCCTCGCCGTTCTTCTCCTCTTCGTCGTCGTTCTTTTCTTCGTCGTCTTCGTTCTTTTCCTCGTCGGGCGAACTGAGTGGCCTGCTCGCCTCGTCGTCTTCGTCTTCGCGCCGAGGCAGGGAGTCGCCCGTGTCGCCCTCCTCGCCGCCCTGCCAGGCGGGTCCCTCCAAGGCGCCGCTCGCCTCCTTCCTCGGCTCGTTCACCATGTCGACCACGACCACCACCCACACGACCACCGCGCCGCCGTCCGCCTTCAAGCCTGTCGGCCACGGCCTGGCACCCGCGCCCTGCGCACTCCCGCTGGGACAGCCCCTCCTGCCCGGACCTTCGCCGGTGGCTGCCACCGCCGCGGCCTCGGCCATGCTGCCGTTCCACGCGAGCGCCTACTCCCACGCGCTCTCGCAGTCGGTGCCCTTGACGAGCGATGCCCGCGCCATCAAGAAGGACTGCGGCGCTCACACCGCCACCGCCGTGCACGCCGCCGCCGGCAGCAGCGGCAAGCCCGGAGTTCGCGTGTGCACCATGTGCGGCACCAGCAAGACCAAGCAGTGGCGGTCCGGCAGCGACGGCAAGCCTTCGTACGTGTCATGATCTCTCACCACCCGCTTGAGTTGGCGCACACAAGCGGCATTTAGGCCATGTGACTGACCCTTTCCATTTCCGTTGACTTCACTCTCGCACACACGCAGGCTGTGTAACGCGTGCGGGCTGCGGTACCGCAAGGACTCGCTGGGACAGAAGTTCAAGTTCAAGCAGGTCATCATCTTCCCCTCGGGCACCACGAGGGCCAACAGCAGCAGCAGCAGCAGCAACAACAACAAGAAGAGGAAGACACTCGCCACCAGTGACGACAAGAGCAAGGCCGACTCCGTCGACGAGAAGGAACTGACCGCCTCGTTGGCCGCCGCCAAGTCCGCCTCGAAGAAGAGGCGCCACGCGTCGCCGGCCGCCGCCGCCGCCGCCGACCAGCACGACACGCGCTCGAGGGAGGGTAGTCCCGACAGACGGTCGGACATCTACTCTCTCCTCAACTAGGGTGGTCCATCCACCCACCCGGGGAGAGCCCACACGCTCTCCCCCGCGGTCGAGGACCCCTCGCACGCACAACTCGCGTGCGAGGCGCGGTCTTCCCGCACGCGTGCGTCGATGAAGCCACACGACTTCGTCCGCACCACTCGTATTATTTATTTAATTTATTTCAACCTGCACCACACCAACATCCCCGGCCTGGCTGGGAGCCTCTTCGGACGAAGATGCCGCTCCCTCCCGCTGCTTCCTCTTCTTCGACGGCCACCGAGCCGACAAGAAGGGTCTCGACTGTCAATCGCGACATTCGCCGAAGCACCCACGCCGCTATTTATTTATTTATTTATTTATCTATTGTATTTTGTCTCTCATAAGACAAATACACCGAGGTCGAGCACCACGAAGAGCAGGCCCCGAATTGGCGGTTTGCCTTCGCTCCCTCACCTGCACCACCCACCCCTCGATCAACACCCGCACGTGCTTCGTTTTGGTGGCCGGCCAAGAATCTGGTAATTTTCTGTGCGGAATGCAGTCCGGGCGGAGATCTAGACAGCCGAGTAAAGAAAATCGGAGAAAATAATATTTCCCTCTGTGGAAGAGATTTCGCATTGATATTGGCAGATCACGTGAGGAGGATGAGAAGAGCGACATTCGTTACCGTTTCCGCTGGCGGCCTTCGCGCCTCTGCTGTGCCGCACTCCTCTGGCCTTCTCTTCCGCAGTTCCACCAGATTTGTCCTCGCCACCTCCGCTCGCGCCGATGCTCGAGTCTTTCCCCTCCGCTCCTACACCACCACTGCCGGTCCCCCCTCCACCCATTCGCTTCGCATTATTAATAACAATTTCTTTGTCAATTGAATGGGTTATTTTATTTATTTATTAATATGTCTTTTTGTTGCTGCAGAGGAGTTCGTGGGCAAGCTGATGGCGGACTTGAAGGAGGCGACGATGGCCAAGGACAAGGTCAGGCTGGGCGTCATCCGCCGCCTGCGCAGCGAGATCATGAACAAGGAGAAGCTCAACGTCGACGCCAAGCTCGAGTTTGGCGACTGCGTGAAGGTGGTGCAGCAGATGGCCAAGCAGTGCGAGGACAGCGCCAAGGAGTTCGACAAGATCAACCAGGCCGACACCGCCGCCAAGGAGCGCGAGGAGGCCCGACTGCTGCGCACCTACCTGCCCGCCCAGCTCAGCGAGGCCGAGGTGCAGCAGCTCGCCGAGGAGGCCGTCAAGGCCGTGGGCGCCACCACCATCAAGGACATGAAGAACGTCATGGCCACGCTCGGCCCCAAGGTCCAGGGCAAGTCCGACCCCTCCCTCGTCGGCGAGATCGTGCGGAAGCTCCTCGGCGGCAAGTAGAGAGAGATAGATAGATGGATAGCTCCATCGTGGATTGATAGAGCACTCGATAAAGCAGCAACCCACCACCCTGTCGACCCCCCTCAGCGCGCGCGTCGTGTGCGTCGTGTGTGTGTGTTCGGGAGTGAGCCAGGTGCGCGCGTGCATGCGCATGGAGAGCGGTATGCATGTGTTTGTTTATTGATTGCTTGGAGTGTGGTGTGGTGGCCAAGGCTCACTGGGGAAGGACGCGGAGAAGGGTGAGACCATCGGCGATGGCAAGCATTACAGGCTCGACGCGGTTGTCGTCCTTGATCGTCTCGTTGAGCTGGCGCAGGGCCACGGTGTCGGCATCGGTCACCTCGGACTTGATCACCTTTCCACCCCACAGCACGTTGTCGATGGCGATGATGCCGCCCGCTCGCACCAGCTTCAGCAATCGCTCGTAGTAGTGCGGGTAGTTCACCTTGTCAGCTGCGCACAGAAATAACACAGCCTACTCGTCAGCTACGCGCACTGGAACCGGTCCAGCCGGATACGTTGCGGGGGGTGTACGTACCATCGACAAAGGCAAAGTCGAAGGTGCCCTGCTGGCCCTCCTTGAGAAGCTCGTCGAGGGTCTCGACGGCCGGCTTGATCCTGAGATCGATCTTGTGGGCCACACCGGCCTCCTCCCAAACGGGCCTGCCCACGTTGGTGTATTCCTCGCTCACGTCGAGCGCCACCACCTTGCCGTCCTCCGGCAGGGCCAGCGCTGTGGCCAGTGCCGAGATGCCCGTGAAGACGCCCAGCTCCAGAGTGCGCTGCAAGCCAGGTCGTGGTGAGATTGCGCTTTTGAATTGATTTTCAAGCGATGAAGCATAATTTATAATGAATCGAGATTTGGGGTACCTTGGCACCGATGAGGCGGAGGAGGAAGGCAATGAGGGCACCCTCGTCAGGCGGGGAGGCCATGCGGGCATAGGTGTGCTGCTCGGTGAGGTTGCGAAGCTTGGTGAGCGCCGGGTGCTCCCTCACGCCCACGCGCAGCAGGTACTGGTACAGCTCGGGCGACATGGCCACGGGGCCGCTCTGCCATTTGGGTGTAGCTACAGTGGTAGTGCTCGACATCTTGTGTTGTGGTTGTGTGTTCGGTTGCGTTTGCCGTGTTCTGTCGTGGTCTCTGCTTTTGGGTCCCAAAGAAGCTTCTTTTACGTCGACTCTCGGCGAGAGTTGCGCTTGTCCCATTGGCGGAGCTGGATAGGCGCAAGAAAGGCAAGGGGGGACCCTCACCACCCCTCGTACTCTTCGTCGGAGTCGGCGGTGGCGCGTCGGTTGCCCTGGCGCGCGAGCAAGTCCGCGAGAATGTCGATTTCGTTGTCGTCTTCCGGCTCGGACGGTTCGTCGTTGGCCCTCTCTTGGTCTTCCTCCTCCGAGTCCACTACGCCCTGCTGGAACGCGGGAGTGAGTGAGGCTCTCGACCACATGCACACACAGCTCTCGGGACGCCACATGTTGTGTGTTGCGTGTGGGGGTGAGATACCACTACGATGGAGAGACACGAAAATAGGGTCCCAAGCGTGAGGCCATCGCCCAGCAGGGGCGAAAAGTCGATGTACGATTGCGCTCCGATCTCTTCCTTCACCCTCTCACACTGCCGTCACACAACCGCCACACCGCCGCGTATATGAATTCAGCCGCCGAGCAGGCACCCGAAGGGGGACGAGAAGGAAGAAAAGCAGGGCAGCTCACCTCCTCCTCGGGAATGGCCCAATCGGAACGAAAGGCGTGTTCATCGTCTTGGTCCCCCTCGATGAGGTATCGGTACTCGCCCTTGAGCCCACACAATATCTGAACACGCACAGGCGCGCATGCGTCACCACCAGGTTCAGCGCATTATTGGTAGTCGAGTGTATGCGGCGGTGGTGTGCGGTTTGTGAGGGTGTGTGCGTGTGCGTTGTGTGTGTGTGTGTGTGTGGTGGCGTACAATGGGCGCATCGAGGCAGAGCTTCCGCACGAGCGGTGCCCACTTGGTCTTGACGTGCTGCAGCGATGCGAGGGAGGTGACATCGAAGCAGCACAGGAAGAGGTCGACGTTGGCAAAGCCCCACGGCCACTCGCCCTCCCGCACCTTGTCCTCCATCGCTCCCGACGTATCGCATAAGCGGAGCACCAAGTTTCGTCCTCCCCACTATATTCAGGGCAGACAACGTTAGATGATCATTCGAGGCCTGGTCGAGGGCTGTGTGAGCCTGAGCCTACCATGCATTGGCGCACGTGACAGTCTTCGCTTGTCGGAATGTGCTGTGGCCACCACACAACAAGTGAGTTTTATAGGTGTGCCGGCAGGCAGGCAGGCAGGCAGGCAACAGTATAGTTGGTGCGAGCAGCACACGAACCTCCATCAAAAACTTTCCCGAGACGAAGTGCGCTGTACAGTGTAGTGGAGGAACAACATGAGTGAGTGACATGTACCATGCGACGCCAACCCCAAGCCAGACACGCGTACTGGCTAAACTGGATTTGCCCACCGCCGTATCGCCCACCTATTGCGCAAAATGTAAGAGGAGGAGCGGAGGAGGAGGAGGAGGAGAGAGATAGAGAAGGGCTTGGGGGCAGAGAGTACCATGGAGATGGTGATGTCGGTGAGACCGGTGGAGAGAGTGTTCAACATCTTACGCCTCTGCAACCGCTTCGCACGTTCCTTCTGCGCTGCAGAGTCGATCCCCAACTCACTAGCGCGGTTTCAACACCCAATGATCAAATGGGGGAAACGGGAGGGAAGGCTGCACGTGTACGCACCAGCGATACAGTCGCTTCCATTCGTGATTGGGCACCACCCCGGGCCGAGCGGCGAAGGGGGTCGGCCACCTCGCACTCAGCAGGTGTTTCTGCAGCTCGCGCACGTCGGTGAGTCCATCACCCACCCGCGGAGTCGATAGAGAGAAAACAAAAAAGTGGGTACCCACAAGGCGCCCTCCTCGCTCAGCTTCTTCCACCTGCGTCTCGACGAGGGTGAGCGTGGGTTGAAATGGATTCACACAGCTTTGGCAAAGGCCACGTACCGGCGGCACACCCGGGCAGCGCAGAGCAGGTCCTCGTGCTCTGCGAATGGCCACCAACATCTCCATCAGCCACCGCTAGCGACAAAAGCGTAGGGGTGGGGGGCGCACCCATGTGGCTGAAGATGGTGACCACCTGTGGAGCCGTCGGGCATCACCAGCGACCAGAGTATTGGAATGGTGGGTGGGGGGTAAGCAGTCTTGTGGGAAACCCAAGAAAATGGGGGTTGCACCATTTCAGAGGGCAGACCGAGCACAGGACACCCGTCAACAAGGAGAGGCTGCTCTTCTCCTGCCTCCATCTTGTTTGCGCTCTTCTGCTTTTTCTTTCTTTTCCTTTTCTTCTTCCGATGAAGAAAAGAAATGAATAACAATAAACAAAGGGGGGCGAGCAAGCAAGGGAGGTGGGGTACAGGGGTGTATTTGAGTAGTGGTGGTGGGGCTGAAAGGGAAGGGAGAGAGGAGGAGGGAGAATCAAACACCTAGTCTTTGGTCCTCCCTCTCGAGAGGAAAGTGAGGGTGGGAGATGTGGGTCAGTCTAGTTGTCCTTGTTCCTGTGGCTGGGGGTGGTGCCGCGCCACCACTCGGCGGCGTCGGTCTTGAGCTCGTTGATCTTGTCGCCGAGCTTGTCCATGACGCCCTCCTCCTCCTCGCGCTGGGCCTTGGTGCGTTCGCCCGCGCGCTTCATGCGGTTGGCGATGTCCTCGCCTTCGTACTTGAGCTCCCGGGACTTCTTCTTGCCCAGGCGCCTGGCCTCATCGAGCGACTCCTTGGCGTCCTCCTTGGCCTCGCGCATCGAGTCGCCCATGTCGCGGCTCTTCCTGCGGGCCTTGTAGCCCAGATCCTCGCCCTTGCGCATGAGGTCCTCCTCGGTCTCCTTGAGAGTCTTCCCGGCGCGCTGGGCCTTGTCCTTGGCGGCGTCGACCACGTACTCGCCGCTCTCACGCAGCTTGCGGCCCGCGGCGTCGGCCTTGTCCTTGACGTTGTCCTTGAGGTCGCGCGCGCTGCGGCGCAGGTCCTTGCCCTCCTCGCTCAGCCACTCCTGCGACTGGCGGCGCTTCATGCGGGCCTGGTCGCCGACGTCGCGCATCTTCTCCTTGCCCTCCTCCCACAGCTCGTCGGCTTCTTCCTTGAGGTCGCGGCTGCGGCGCTGGGCCGAGTCCCGCACCTGGCGGCCCGTGCGACGGGCCTTGTCGCTCATGTCGTCGATGTCCTCGCGGGCCTCCTCCTTGGCTCGGCCGCCCATGTCCTTGATGCCCTCCCAGGCGCGCTCGCCCTTCTCCACGACCCACCCCTCGGCGTCGCGGGTCTTGCCCATGGCCCGCTCGGCCAGGTCCTCGCCCTTCTCGTACACGGTCTTGGCCATGTCGCTCATCTTGGAGCCCACGGCGCCCAGCACGCCGGCCGACGCGGCCGTGTAGTCCGTGAGGTCGGTCACGTCGAGACGGTCGCAGATCTCGTCGGAGCTCAGCCTCTTCCTGCTGCTCAGCATATCCTCCAAATCGTCACCGTAGTGCTTCAGGAACATGTGGCACTGTGACACAAAGAATGGGTACAATGGTGAGCACTTGCGAGTCCATGATGGGTTTGGGGGGGGTTGAAGGGTGGGAGTCGTACGGCACGCTGGTCCTCTTCGCCGAACTTGTAGCAAACCTCGTCGCGGATGCGCGAGTGCGCTAGGGGCAGATCCCTGTCCTGCAGGTTCTTCTTCTTCACGATGTTCGTGGCCCTGCGGCAGACTGCACCGAGTAGAAGAAGAATAAAGTGTGAGCGTTGAATGTTCTCTTATTCTCATGGCCAAGAGAAATGCGGTACTCTCATGAGCATCGGTCTGTTGGGTGCGGCGGTTGAGCATGTTGTTGTTGTTGCGTGAGTGTTGCTTGTCGTGTTGTTGTTGTTGTTTACAAAAGCAGGAGCTGGTGCCGTACTTATACCCCCTTCCGCCATGGCGGCCCCGCCTCACCGCACCCGTTCAGTTGGAATTCAAGCGAACCGAACCCAGACCGGTAACCGCCAGAATTTCTGCCAATTTCCAGGCGTTTGGGCATTTTTGCCAGGAAAGTGTTGGCTGGGCCTGATCCCGGGACTACAACTACACACAGGTGAAGTGCGGCGGCTACCTCAACCGCGCAAACATGGAATGGGCGGGCGCATGCAGGGGGTGTGGAGACAACATTTTTGTGTTCACCTTCCTTTTAAAGGAACTTGCGTTTCCTTATATCCGATTGTGTGCCTCTTCGCATTTCGTTCATTCACTTTCGTCTGATACCACAGCCGACTTCTCCACCCCATGAACTCCAGCCCGCTTTCCCAAGAACCTGGAACCATCGGAACAACCCGGTGCATCCCCTGCTTCTTGACCCAACACTCCACACAACACTCCACATCCAACACTCTTACCCAAAACACCAGTCTATACCACTCGCCCGACATGAGAAGAAGAGCTACTCTTGCTGCCGCCCATTACCTTCGCACTGATGCCACGGAGGTGCTGATGAAGGACCACCAGAAGGTGCAGGGCATGCTGCGCACAGTCATATCAAGTGCCGGTGCGTCGCCCCCCTCTCCTCTGTCACATGTTGTTACTAATACCCTCACCGTTGCACCTCAGCAGACAGCAAAGTAAGGAAGGAGAACATGAACCAGGTTGTCTACGAGCTCTCCCAACACGCGGCCGTCGAAGAACAAGTGCGTGACCTCAGTGCGACTAACTATTTGCTTGCTGACTCCTTTTCCTGTATGGCAGATCCTCTACCCGACCCTCAGGCACCTCCATGACGATGGGGACAAGATGGCCGACCGCGCTATCGAAGAGCACCTCAAAGTCAAGGTGCGCCAGCGCGCGATTGGAGTGCTGTGTGTGCGATTGGAGTGCGCTGCGCACACGCTCACCTAAGTTTTCTTCCACAGAAAGAGCTGGACGCACTGGACAAGATGGAAGTGACCGAATCCAAGTTCGTGCCCGCAGTGGAGAAGATGAGCAAAGACCTCGATCAGCACATCAAGGAAGAGGAGTCCGAGATCTTCCCCATCCTCAAGCAGAAGTACGTCTCCGCCTTGGTCTCCCAACCTAGCCCTTAACGAAACCTATACTACGGCGCAGGCTATCGAAGGAGGATCTGGACAAGATGGGAAACCTGCTCGAGAGCATGAAGACGGTATCGCCCACGAGGCCTCACCCGCATATGCCAGCTACCCCGCCCTACAACGTCATGGCCGGTCCGCTGGCCGCCTTCCTGGACCGCGTGCGGGATCTTGGTCGGTCCTTCCCCAAGAAGTGAAAGACCCACTCCAAGTTTGTGCCAACGTTGAGAACTCAGTTCACGCCCAGCTCCAATACAACTACACTTCGTGGCCCACCCTTGCTGGAATGGCGAAAAGGCAGTATTTATTTATTTATTGTTTGATTTGATTGAAACAATTCGCTGAAAAAGAATCAAAGTTGCGTTTTGCCAATTTGATTTAATTCTCACCGGCTGTGCCCCTAGAGAATCCATCTCGCCCTTCTGATCCTTCTTCGGCTTGCGTGAAAGCGAAAGATGGGGGACGTTTATGTGGACGACATGATGCTCGCTACCCTCATCAGCATGGGCTTCGACGAGTCCATCTCGCGTCAGGCCCTTGCTGTAAGTGGCAACTCATCTGTGGACACCGCCTTAGGTACCCCTCCCTCGGAAACTCATCTCTTCTTGCTGATTTTGGCTCATCTTCACATGTTCTGCACCCCTTCAGAACTCATATTGAGCGGCTCATTGGCTGACATGGCCGACGTGCCGCAGCACTACGAAGAGCCTCCGAAGTACCTCCCCCCTTCCTTCTGCACTCGTCGTGGCGCGGGCTGCTTCGAACCGGTGCTGACTGTGTTGCGTTGATGCGTGCAGGCCGGCACAAGGTCTGAGAGGCAACACGCCCAAGGCGGCCGCAGCACCGCCGCCAGAGCCTCTTGCGTTTGATCCGTGTGAAATCACCACCGACTATGATGGTGCACCCTCCTGCCTCCTACAAGGTGTCACGGATAGACCGCACACGCCGACTCGGCACGGCACGACACGGCACAGCACTCACTTCTGGACGCGCACTAATTCCAAACGGGCGCAGATTACGAACAAAACAGCCAGCCGGACAAAGGGAAGCTGCGGCAGTCCACCGAGGGCACGGAGGGCGAAGACTACGAAGATCTGGATTTTAGCGGTACCCCCTTACCCTTCGTCTCGTGATCGTATCGATAAGATGGTGCGGCGGCTCAAGCGACATACGTGCGCACGACCAGATGGCGCTGCGCTGGGCATACCCGAACGGGAGGCCACCAAGATCAAGTGCTTCGACGAACGCAAGCTCGGTATGTGCTTTGTCGTCCCTCCTTTTCCCCATCACGTTGGCTGATGTAATTCCATGTCCTGACTTTGGTGGTTGTGTCTTGGGTCCTCTGCAGCCGAGGCAGCTGCCAACGAGATACGCAAGATCATGTCCCTCACCGGCTTTGGCTTTTCCGACTCTGCTGCCTTGCTCAAACATTACAAGTACGGCCCGCGGCAAGTTTGCTCCAGCTCACCCCACTTCTCTCTCGATGTAGAGTGCTCATTGCACGGGTTATCTGTCGCTTGGTAGGTGGGACGCCGAAAAGCTGACGGAGCGCTACTTCGAAGACCCCGAGAAGGTGGCCGCCGCCGTGGTATGCCATCCTCCGCGCGTTGTTGTGGGAACTGCTGTGGGTGGCTGCTGGGACCGCCAGGCCAGCTCACAGTGTTGTTCCCCCCCCTCTGTGCCGTAGGGCGTGGTGTTGGATGAACATTCAGATGACCCGATCGAGGGCGACTGCCTTATCTGCGGCGACGAGATGACGGCCGAAGACGCCAGCATCTCGCGTTGCGGCCACGCCTTCTGCAACATCTGCTGGCAAGGCACAATGACCTGCCCTGCCTGCTCCCGGCGCCCTTTCAGGCCTGTCACTAACAGAAATCGGATTGTACAGGCTACCTGGAGGTAAAGATCAAGGAGGGCGAGGCTCTCGGCATACCCTGCATGATGCACAAGTGTGGCAAGGTCGTCGACTCTAACCTCGTCAAGCGGGTCGTCTCGTACGTTCTCAACGTCCTCTTTGATACTTGCTTACTCAATCATTATGGTTTACTGAGAGACTCGGGTATCAATGCTGTCAGGCCGGAGGCGTACAAGAAGTACACCCACTTCATCACCAAGGGCTTTGTCGATCAGAACCCCAACATGCAGTGGTGCCCTGCGCCCGGATGCACCAACGCCGTGCTCTGCGAGCTCAGCACCGGTACACGCCACGCACACTCATTTTCGCACACGATGTGAGCACTACTAAGACTTGTTCCATACAATGCCCTTGGTTGCCACAGAGCTGAGGGTGCCATGCAACTGCGGCTACCGATTCTGTTTTGTGTGCCACGGCGAAGCGCATGCCCCCGCCAAATGCGATGACGTACGTCTCAACCCGATGTCATATGTGCCCACCGGACGATTTTGACCGCTCGAGCGTGCGCTGACGTCTGTACGTGCAGATGAAGAAGTGGGACCAAAAGTGCAAGGATGACAGCGAGACGGCTAATTGGCTAAACGCCAACACCAAGGATTGTATTACCTCACCTCCCCGTGTGGGCTCGTGGGCAGTCTTGGCAGCAGCTCACCGTGCACTCTTGCAGGTCCCAAGTGCCACACAGCCATCGAAAAGAATGGCGGCTGCAATCACATGGTGCTCCCCGTTCTAGCGCGCGTTGCATCATCTCCTCGCCTTCTCACTCACTCTTCTCACTGACCGCTCCAGACTTGCAGGAGCGTTAGCTGCAAACACGAGTTTTGGTGCGGCCACACTATTCACACATACCACCTGCCCTGCGGCTCGCTAATGCGTGTGTGGTGCAACTTATTGGTTGTCAACAGCTGGATCTGCATGGGGAACTGGATCGGCCACACGGCCTGCAACCGCTACAAGGAGGGCGAGGCACAGGAAGAAGTACGATGATACCTCCACCGTCCCTCGTTCTCTGGCGCCTGACTGTGCTCGGTTGATCAACGTTGGACTTGGACAGGACGCGAGCACTGCTCGAAAGACGCTGGAGCGTTACCTTCACTACTACCATCGTTTCAAGGCCCACATGGACTCTCAGGTAACGAAATCTTCCATTCTATCTTTCGTTTCAGCTTTAGGTCGGTCGGTCGTAGTGTGATTGCGTGTGTCGTGCACGTGTTGCATGCCCCCCCCCCAAAAAGTAATGGGGACTCCTCCCAGAGTCGAACTGGGACCTCCCACGTTTTGAAGTTGGCCGTTAGACAGGGGCGGGATGCCAACTTACCCCAAGGAGTCACCCAAACACCTCGCCCCGCTGGTTCCCTCTTTGGCTGGCCGTTGGGCTTTGTTGCGCCGCATTATGGGATTCTTAGAGACTTTTTTTACTGAAATTTTTATCAGTTCCCATTGTAACCCTTATTAGTGCACCCCACTTGCCTTTTTAAACAACAATAACCAATAGCAAGACTACTTTTAATCATTAAAACACCACATGTGGTTGTGTGGCAGAAATTTGAGAATGAGCTGCGGCAGAAGGCTGTGGAGAAGATGATGGACCTCAGGGCGCGGGCGGAAACGGAGAGAAGTGCCAACGTTGACTACATCTTCAACGCTACCGAGCAGCTCATTGAAGTACGAATCCCTCTTCCTCCTTCCTGTGTGTGTGGTGTGCGCGTGCGCGTGTGTGATCGAGTACTCACTGCACCTTCCCGCAGTGCCGCCGCACGCTGAAGCACACGTACGTGCTGGCGTTCTACCTGCCCGACCTCAGCCCGGAGAAGAACCTGTTCGAGTGGCTGCAGGAGGAGCTGGAGGTCACCACCGAGTCGCTCTCGGGCGTGTTAGAGAAGCCCATCTCCGGCAGTGCGGAGGAGAAGCGCAAGATCATCGATCTCACCAACCTCGCGCGCACCCGTCTGGAGCACCTCCTCGACGGCGTCAGAGAGGGTACACTCCACGCACGCACCACTTCCAAGGTACCGGTGCTGACGGTGAGATCATGACAGGTCTCACGCAGGGCGCACGATTCACGCCGGAGGGTCGCGAGATCAGAAGCTCGAGCGAGGGCCTCACCTCTGCTGGGGCGTCCTCGTCCTCCTCCCTGGCCTCGTTCTTCACAGGCGGGAGCAAGAAGGCCGCAGCTGCCCCCAAGAAAGGCGCTAAGAAGCGCGGCGGTGGCTTCTTCGGTCGCGGTTAGATCTCTTCTCTCCTTGCCCCCCTCCCCCCACACGTGTGAGAGATGGTGGCCCCGACGCCCTGCCCCGCACCTAATCCCACCACTGGGCACCACCCCTGCACGTGTGTGCTTTCTTGGTCGGACATAAAGAAAGAATGAAAAGCGAAAAAGAAATTGGCGCCACAAATTACGAAGGTAACGCAAAGAGAGCCACAGAAGAATAACGACACACGCGGAGCTAAGAAAGAAAAGATCTTCCACTCATCTCTCGTTTGATCGTCGTCGAGGGGGATTCAACAGATTCTTCCTCTTCTTCTACGCGTGGAGATATCTGCGCTTGTTTCTCTTTCTTCTGCCCCCCTCCCCTCCTCGATCAATCGAAAGAGCGAAGAAGAAGAAGATGAACAGAGAAGACGACGAACGAACGCGACCACCAGAACGGCAGCTGCCACTCCTGGAGGGGGGAAGAGATGATGGGGATGAGGGAGATGATGTAGATGCGCTGCGGCGAGCCAGGACCCAAGCCGAGGCTGAGGCGCAGCGGGCCAAGGCCGAGCTCGAGCGCGCGTGGGAGGAGATGCGCGAGGCCTGGGAGCTGCGCGAGGACGACGAGGCCAAGCTGCGCCAGCTGCTCGCCCGGCTCGAGGCCCGCAACGCCGACCTCGAGCTGCGCGACCGCGAGCTGCGGGGCGACCTCGCCCGCCTCAGCGACGCCGAGACCGCGCTGGCCCACTCCCTGCTGCTCCACAAGCTGGTCTACAAGGCCTTCCACAAGGGCTTCCTCAACGACGAGGAGGACGAGGCCGACGACGACGCCCCGGGCAGTGCCGCGGCGGCGCGGCTCCACCCGGACCTCGTCGCGCGCAAGCAGGAGCTCAACGAGATCGACTCCTTCGTACAGCGCAAGCGCCTCGAGCGCCTCGCCCGCGAATCCAACAACCACCACCACCCCGCTGGCGGCCCCGGCCCCGACGCCGTGTCGGGCTCGGGCTCCGTGACCAGCAGCACCACGACCAGCGCGGCCTCGTCGCCGGCGTCGTCTCTGTCCCTGTCCCTCTCGAGCGAGGACCCGGCCTTGGCCGCCACCACCGCCACCACGTCGGCCTCGACGTCGTCGTCGGAGGCCACGACCACTGCGGCGGCTGCGGCGGCGGGTGGCGGATCGACGATTGCGCGATCGGCGGTGGCAAGCGCCGCACAGGGCGCCGCCGAGCACCACCAGCAGCAGCCGCCACAGCCGCCACTCAACGCGAGCAGCGGCGGACTGGGCGGTGGCGAAGGTGGTGGAGGAGGAGGGCACAAGGTGGCAACGGCGCTGCATCCGACGTCGGCGATGAAGAAGGAGGGCGGCGGGTCGGGCGTGAAGGGCCGCGTGACGATCGCCGAGGTGGTCAATCCCATGAGCGGCGCGCTCAAGGGCGGCGGTATCAACCGCCCGCCGCCGCCGCGCTCGCCCATGAAGAAGGCCCCCGCCGGCGATGAGGCCTCCAAAGCCGCCAAGCTGATGCCGCCGCCGCTGGCCCATCACGGTTCTGCCCACGGCCACCCCCACGGACAGAGCGGGCATGGTTCTGCCCACGGCCACCACCACGGCCACGGCCACGGCCACCATCATCATCCGGTGAAACACCACCCGACCACGCTCCAGGACCTGTTCGTGGCGGCGGCGGCGCCCATCGCGCCCTTGTCGCCACAGCCGCGCGCTAAGGCGGCGGCCGCGGCCGAGGGGCTCCAGCCGCCGGCCGCCCACGGCTCGC